GAGGTGGTTTTTTAGGGTCCAGGATGTTGTTAATTTTAGGTAGCATCGTGAAATATGTTCTGGAGCGATATTTGCGGTGTTTTACGAGGGTTCGGAGGGGTATTTTTCGAGGGTAGGCTAGCGTAATTTGTTTTGGTTGTTCAACAAAGTAGTTACTAGAATTTCGGATTCACCGGATGTCAGGGGGCGGCACTAGAGGGACGAAGTTGTTCATGGTGTTTGTTACGATCTTTCATAACGTTTATGTGCGAAAATATAGCTATAGCTGACGAAGAAATATTCCAAGAATTCGTTCTTCACTTAGTTAGCTGTTGTCTGAGACTTTGTTTATGTAGACCTCGGTTTTTAGATTTTCCCAGATCTTCTGAAGACATAAAGTTCTAATCTATTCACCTACCTTTCTATCTAGCCATATTTAAAAAAAATCGTTTCACAAACAATGAATATAGTTCAGTAAAGAATCAGCCAAATCGATACTGTCAATTATTTCAAGTTGTTGAATGCTTCACATCATATATTATTGCACAAACATGCACAGCATCATGTGAGAGAAATTGGCAACAAAGAAAAAGTTGCAAATGATCTCTCCTATCAAATTTTTGCAATTTTTATTGGTGTCAGCATGATCTTAATGAACTTCTTGAACGCAGCAATTGCAAACATCCCAATGCTGAAACCAAACTGCTTCAAACAAATAACGGTAATTCGCATAAAGTAGCAGAGTCAGAGAAAATGTTTCGCATACTATTGAATATTTCACTATCGTAGGGTTATTTTCAGAAATGATTTTGTTTCAAGGCATACTGCTTCATTGTCTTGAACAAACTTCGAAAACAAACTATGTCCAGCTTAAAAAAACGATAATTGTCATAAGAACATTGAGGTACTTTGGTGAATCTCAGCTTTCAAAGAAAAGGAAATTGATTCTGGAGTTCCACAAGGTTCTGTGTTGAGTCCCATTCTTTTCTTATTACATATTAATGACCTCACCAAGCTCAATATTTCTAGGAAGTTCACCTTATTTGCAGTTGACGCTACCATACTTTGGAATAACAAAAACACTTGTGAGTTGCACTAAATAATCTCTGCCGACTTGAAAAAAGTTAAAAATTGGTGTGATTCAAACATTTCATCTTTTAACTTAACTAAAATAAATTCATTATCATTTAGATGCTCAATCAACGAACTTTTTTTGAAGACAGATCACTGGAACCTAAAATTAACACCAATTTTCTAGGAGTGTTTATTGACCAGAATTTGAAGTTTGTGGATCATGTTAAACAACTCACTAGCAAAGTCTCCTCTGGCTGTTATGCGGTTAGAGTGATTTATAAAGAGTTGGGGTTCAGGGCTGCATATATAGCGTACTATGCACTCATAGATTCTCTATTACGCTACGGAATACAGATTTGGGGAACATGCAGTCCAACTTTATTCAAAAGTCTACTTATTTTACAGAAAAGAGCAATAAGGTATGTAGGAAACCTTAAACCAAGAGACTTCTGTAGAACCTTCTTCAAAAAAAATAATATTCTAACGGTAACGGTGTTTAATAAATAAGCATATAATAAATTGTGCTGCATCCTCTTCCCATTGTAACACCCGAAACAGCAGAAGCTCTCTGAAACTCACTGTGGCAACTAAAAACATCACCAGCGACTCCATATTTAACAGCGGTGGAAAAATGTACAATAATTTGCCAATATAAATGACTTCCAATTCAGGAAGTTAGTCAAACAATTTCTATCTAATAGATAGACCCTATTATACTTTGGATGAATATTTCAACGATAGCTTTCAACTGACTATCTCATATTTTTCATCTTTATTAATTAAGGAGCGCCTAAGTTGTTACTTTTTGTATCTACTCTTTTATAAATTTGACTCATACTCTTTTATATCTTCCATTTCAACATAGTTTGTACCCATGCACCATTTTCATTTTCATTTGGTATGTATTGCATTTTTTAAGTGCTGTCTACCCAAGCTTTGCCGACAAGATTATGTCTTATGATAATAAAGCCTATTGTTATTGTAATCAACCAA